CTAAACTTTATCTGGAAAAAAAATGTTGGTTTCAGTAGTTTTCTATATTATAAAAGTTTCAACTGACTTGTGAAACTTTAATGGAATTTTATGAAACATTAACCTGTAAGATAAAATATTATTGTATCCTTTAAATGTGAACATTTTCCTTGGCAAGATATTTATAACTTTTGAGAAATCAACTTGATTTCATTACAAAACGCAACCTTTTGAGATTGATTTTGAGAAACCAACTTGACTGCATGATGAACACTATTTCTTGGCAAAACTCAACCTCTTAGGGTTGATTTTATCCAAGTGGATTAGTATTGATCCTGGATTTCCTTCAGTCCAACTAATCGATTCCTTCTCTAATAATTTCATAATCTGCCATGGATAACAACAAAATTGCACAATCAATGTTTTAGTAATTTCCATTTTTTTTTTCCAAATCAGAGTTGAGGACTTTAAACCAAAGAGCTGCAATCAAGTTCAAGTTGGTCAGCAAGTCTTACCAATCGTCTGCGAGCCCCCTTTGAGCTATCTTCCTCATTTGTCTCAATGGTGACCTTTAGGAACTTGAATACTGATGGAAAACACATCATAAACAAGCCAAGAAAATACAAGGTCATATTAAAATTATGACAACAGTGACATACATAGGATTTTTACCCAAAAAAGGGACTTACATGGGATGCCTGCTAGAGAAGATAGATGATGCTTCAAAAGGCGTATTGCCTCCTTGGCATCATGTTCATGCAAGTCCAGCAACATTTCCTCTTGTGTTTCTGTGTCTCTGGTGAGCAATGAAACCAGACCACTCATCGAAAAGGAAATAAAACATATGTTCAAAGAAAAGGATGCTAACCTAGTTTCAAAAATCTTTTCATTGGATTCCTCATCTGCTTCTCGAGCTTTTTCGCGAAAAAAATTACCCTGCCACATCCATGACATTTAAATGAGAGCGTGAAAAATTTTTACCCAAAACATGTCAGTTACCCTATATCTCATACTTGCACCATTTAATGTTGATGGTTTTATAACTAAATCAACGCTGTTAGAACATATTGAGATTCTTAATACATTCTAACAGAGGCAGCAAATAAGACTAAGCTAATGGAAGTTATGCCAGCAACTTCATATAAAAAGCTCTTCATCCAGTGGTTTTACAAATTGTCACATAACAACCACAGAATTTAAGGGATTTTGCTTGTATCTTGAAAGCATGGTGTGTGTTCAGAACATGCATCACTTACAATCCATCAATAGAGTAGACAAAAATATACCTGTTCTATAAGTTTGTTTGCTCGAACTTGATCCCCCTTAGCAAATGCATCAGCAGCCTGACAAGGAACACACAATCTTCATAGCATCTAAAGGGGAATGTTATTTTATAATTAAATTGGGAAGATGGAAGTTCCTAAAATAGGAAACCTACCAACAGACAAAAAGAACGAAGGAGAAAAGAAAAGAAAAGAAAAAAGACAAAGTCACCTACAGCTTTGTGGTATTCCTTCATTGTGCCCCAGTACTCCCTCACAGCTCTACGAAGAGCCTGAAAACTATCCTCTTTGTCCTCATCTGCAATTGACCATGGATTTTAGAGATGAAAACAAACAAAAAGATTTAGCAAGGAAAAACCAAAGCAATGGTGGCATACAAATTCCTGAAAAGCCATTTATAGTCTATATGAAAAGCTTGTAATTATATCTGCAACTGGTAAACAAACATTAGAGCTACCTACATATTTTATAGCAGAATCAACCAGCATTTTAGTAATGTTTTCCCTCTTAGCTACAGCCATGGATATTCACCTCTCAAACAAGATTACTATGACACCATCATGCAAATGATGTCTGATAGATTGCAGCCATAAATCTTCTGAGATAAAAAAATAGTACTAGGAAGGGTTTCGTGCATGGGCTATGTGCCAGCAATGCAACCATTCTAAGCTTAACTTAAAACAGGGATGTAAATGAAAGAGACCATAGAATAGCTTAGAACTTGCAGCTGTCAAGTAATCCTATATTTTGACCAACTATTTGTGATTAGAGTTCAGCATAAGGATGATCCCCAGATAGTCTTGAACAATGAATTAAGTCACGCATTTAATTCCTTATTCTTAGTAGAACCCCCATGACTAGTAAAGAAGAGACGTTTTTGCCTAGAAGGATAGGTTTCTTTTTTTTTTTTTTTTCCATAAATTGAGAAGGATAAGTATTTTCTTTCTTCTATTTTTTAGAAGCCTATATTTAGTAACAGATGCTACAGGCAATACTTCCCTACCATCTAGAAGTCTTACAAAGAATACTTGGTTATATGAATTCACAAGAGAATGGAAAAGTCTCAATACCATCTTTGCTATCTTGTTGTGAGTTCCCCATATCTGTCTTTTTTTGTTCAGAAATTAGATCCCCTAGTGGTTCAACCACTGGTTCTCCCAATGCAATAGACCTGTTTGCTGATTTGACTGTTCTCCTAGGTGACTCGTCAAATCTCTCAGGACCCATAAAAAAGGCAGCCAAAACATCCTTCTGGAGATCATTTATCTTCTGTTGTCTGGTTAACTCTTCACCATTTGTATTTAATAGTACATCCCTGCTGGTGTGCAAAAGTAGTTAAAAATTCATCAGCACAATGTATAAGCCTATTTCACAAGAATCTTATATTGATGACTGAAATTATTAGTAGATCTCTCTCACAATTCCTTTAGTTGGTAAACTTTTATGGTGGCAACTCAGAAAAGAAAAACATACCCTCCAGAAGAAATCACAGGCTGCATCTTTCTCTGTTGTGAAGGTCCCTCTGTAGTTGGATGCATATCAATAATCTGTAAGAGGAAGAAAGCAACAGGAATAAACATATATCAATCAAGAAGCTTATATCCCTAGATGTCTGAGTATCAGTCATCTGTAGACTTAAAAAAAAAAAAAAGACACGTAAATTATGTAATCATTAATTTCCCTGAAGATTTTAGATGACAAATAAGACCTACATGCAATGATGGTGCCTAATGAGTCTCACACACTTTGCAATTAAACCAACCCCTTTTTTTTTTCAAAATAAAAAAGGCTAACCTTTGTACTGGACTCCTTGAGGACCTTTTTCTCCTTATCTAAAATCAGGGATGACTGATCAAGTAGCTTCTCCATACTCTGAATTTTCAGAAGAAGAAAAGGAAAAGTTCAAACAATTTCAGACAATGTTAGTTAGATTTATGACATAAGTAAAACTGTGTTTCAAATGAGTAGGATAGAGCCTTTAAAGCTTTCAGAATGAGAACAGTAGATCATGCATACCTTTTCCATATCATATGCACAACTCTCTGCACATTCAATAATAAAACCAGATTAGTTGTCTCAAATACATGAATAAAATCATATATGCACACAGAACATTTAAATATACAATAACAAATATGCAGATATAAAGTTTTAAATTTAAGTAGACAATACAGCAAGAACAAGAGAAGTAAAACAGAAGTCTTCAATGTCTAGTCGATATCAGTCCATTTCTTCATAATATATCCATATTTCAACAATGGTCCTTGTGCAGAATTCCACTCAAAGATCCTGTAGAAATGCATTGCTTAAGGACAGAGTAAATGTTGATTTGATAGTCATTTGCAGGAGTACATGATATAGATACAAGGAAGATGTGAAAGACAAGGATCAAATGCAAAAGGATGATAGCAAAAAGGCTGTAAAATTGACTGGGTTAAAAGATAAATATAATAAATTATAAATCCGTCAATCAAGTCAAAGTAGAGAGATTAGTTAAGAGGGAAGGCGTATAAGGAATAGGATACCTAGAACTTCTCTAATCACATCCCTGTCCAGCTTAACTCCAAACATTTTGAGTAGAAAATCTTCCATATCTTTGCGAATGGGATTCTCCCTTAATGGATGGGATTTAGCATCTTCCTTCCAAACTTCAGACGGTGGAAACTGCCTCATGTCCACTTTCAAAGGTTTGGCTCCTGAATAAGAACTATTAACCAAAGGGATGGATTTAACATAATCTTTACCCAGAATGCTTGAAATGGTGCCTCCTGATGCCGGTCTATTTTTTTGCTTTGGCCCTATAAACTTCTCATTTGTGTGACAAGAATCCTTAGATTTATAACCATTGGATGGCTCCGAGGGTTCATTTCTCACCTCACTGTCAGATGAATATGTAGTAGAAGAGGAGCTGCTTCCTTGCATTTCATACAGAATTTCACCAGCTAAATTTGCATTCCGTCCTGCTTTGCAATAAGCAGAGGCAATATCATTTAGAGAAAACACAGCGCCAAATGCATCAAGCAAACCCTTCAATGCCATCTCCTCATCATATTTCGATGTAGTCAAGCTAGATACCTCCATTCCAAGCAAACTTCAAATACAAGCTGAAAAACAATTCACTCAACATGTAATTTAGGATCCCAAAGCAGAAGCAACAACCATTTAAGCATTTCTACATACACCATTCTTGCATAACTTGACAAGAACCAAAACTTTAATATTCATTACACCGCTAATGGAACAACAAGTTAAAAGGCAGAGTAACTTCCAATGGGCATCAATTGCTCAAATAAAGTTCTAGAAGAGGCTGAAGTACATTAATAATATTATTAATAATATTAATATTAAGAAATATAAATGCTTTGAGGAAATTTTTCATAACAAAATAGAAAAACAGATTTTAGGTTAATTACTAAATTACCAATGACATATATTAAACCCTTTTTTTTTTATTAGTAAAAATTACAGATTTTAGATACAAATAAGGCACTGTACTACAACTTATCAGAAGAGGCTCCAAATCTTTCTTTATTCTAGAACTATTTGTTTTTGGTACAATCACCTAAAACGCATTCCACTGAGACCCTACTTTTTGAGATAATAGTGTAATAGCCATTGATACTCCATAGCCATAACATTAAATTGTAAATTGACAAGTTTCATAAACTTGCGGAAAAAAATAATATCAATAAATAACCCAACCAAAAAAATCATCATATTCAAATGGAAAATGATTCAGAAACAACCTTTTTATACAACATTTTTTGTACAATCTTAGGTGTCATTGAATAACTGGCTTTTTTCACTCAATTGGAACTCATAATATTGTATGCATCCACTCCTATAACACAAGTGGAAGTTGTACAAAAAGGTTGACTCCATATCCTTACCCTATTCAAATACCCTAAAAAAAGAAACAATCCTTCAGGAATTTCAGCTCAAACCAGTTAGATAACAACTCAAGTAATAACACAATACGCACTATGCCGGGGTTAGAATCAAAATGCATCAAAATAAAAGAAATAATCCAAAATATCACAATCAATTTCCATTTTCCCGTTCATAGTGGACTGAACCAAAGCCAAATCGAAATCCAAAGCTAAAAACACTACCGCAATTCAATTCAAAAGAAAAGAAACAGAATCTCCTCTTTAAAACTGATTCAAACTCAATCGGAAACCGTCATTTTACATTTACATCTTGAGCAGGAAAAAAGAAAGTTCAGTCTTTAGGGAGAAGGAGAGCCGGAGGGTGAGAGAACTAAGAATGACTTACCGGAGTGCGGTCGTCGGGAATGAGATTGCCGGAAGCTCGTCGGCTGAGTTGTCGGAGAAATGTAAATTGTGTGAGCACTGATCCCCGAACGGGCGGAGTGCAAAGGAATAAAGGGAAACGGTGGTCTTTGGCGCTCAATTGCTTGCCTTTGGCGTGCAGACAGGATTTGATTCTATCCTTTTCTAGTTTCTAGTATGTAAGCGCGTCTTCTCCATGACTAACATGTTTGTTTATTCATAGCCTTATGATAGGTCACCAGCTTCGACGAGTGGGCCGTCTAGGGTTGGGGGCCTTTGGCCCAAATGGGTCCATTTCATCTACCGGTTGGGTCTTGGTGTGGTGTTAGCCTTGGGCTTTTGCAATAGAACTTTTTTATTTTTACAATTAAATGTTTCTAAAACAACTCTTACTTCTCTACTCATCAAAACAATTTTATCACATAGAGCTTTCTTTTCTTTTCTTTTCTTTTTTTTTTTTTGGTATTTAGAAGTTTTTAAAACAGCTCTTACTATTAATCAAATAATCTTAAAGGTATATTTCTTATCAAGATCTCACTCTCTTAAAATTAATTTCATTATAATTATATAAAGCCTTTTTACTCTATATGAATGAGACTTGTGGATTAAAGCTACAATGTATTAATTATCAATGTCGAACATAAGTTCTTTTAACTTAGGACCTCAAAGAAGACCCAACAGAACAAACTTAAACACGATCAACAACGTTCTTCATCCCAACATGATGAGATTAGATCTGTTTAAATTCCCCTTGGATGAAAGTGGTGTCCGCCCAATTGGTGGCGCTGCCGGTGCGGGGAATACTAGGGAGTCGAGTCAACAGGTCCACCTGAAAGAAGACCTCGGAGATCCTCCCATCATCGTCTTCCTGAGCTATTGCTCTTACCTTGTGAAGTGGATGATCGAAGCTGGTGAGCCCACAGCCATTCATGAACATGCAGCCTGAGAAAATGAGACCAACTCTTTAGCATTAAAATATCATGCTCGTTTCAAAGCCATTCATTAAACGAGAGATAATGGGAAAAACAGAGCTACCTGGAGGAAACGGAGCACAGGAATTTCCACAAGCAATTTGCAAGATTTTGGGATCATCAGAGCAGACCAAGGAGCCATCTCCGGCCATTCCCCAGTTGAATTCAACTCTTCCTTCACGATCCTAACATTGTTAGAGAACAGAAATGAGAAATTATCACATACTTGGTAAAATGATGAGGGATTATTTGAATTGCTGGAAAAAAGGAAAATGAGTTTCTGTATTCTAAAACCTCACCCTGGCTGCAAAAAGGGTCCTCGTTTTAGCATCAAAGAGAAAGAATGCGAATTTTCCTTGGAGATCTCTGATGACTTGATCAGGTGGGTACGGTGCTCTGTCTCTTAGGACCTTATAAGCTTCAACCACAACCATGGCTTCTGTTGCTTGTCTTGAAAGGCCATAGTACCGCCTGAGTTCAGACATGTTGTCTAGAGTCCCAAGGAATATGCAGAAGATGTCATCCAAGACAACCATGGACCTGATTCATCTCCAATCAGGACTTTATAAGCATTTTAACAACATTTTTTTCACTGAAGAAAGCCTTTCTTCCGATGAGGAGATTCCAAGTTCTAAGATAGTAATGAAATAGCTAGAGACATCAGACAACCTTGCATGCTTTACAGAAACTCTGAACCATAATTTTACCCTATTTTCTGTGCCGCTTCCAATTTTATTTACTATTAACAAAAACAATGAATCAAACCATATAGTTCTCTAAAGGCTAAGACTTTATTACCTGGGATGCACTGGACTCCCTTCGCGAGACAGTGCCATGAAATTCCCATTTGACAGGCTGTACAGGGTCGATTCGGGCAACAATGACCGGAAAGTCTCTAAGATTTCTGCTCGATTTTTCTTACCCTCTGAGCCGATTGAAGGTAGCCTCAGCTCCTCCGGTGGGTTTCCAATTGCTTTCTCGAAAACAGCCAGCATTTTACCTAGAAATCTCAAGACAGTTTCTGTCTAATGCTTGAAGTTGAACTAGAGAGGATGTTGCTTTGCCTTTGCGCAGTGAAATGGGGGAACTGAGGCTTGGGCGCATGCTTATCTTGAAAAACCGTAACGGAAATACTAATAAATCTTCTAACTTACAAAAGCATTGCGCAAGGAACATGCATGTGACAGCATCAACTTTTGTTTGAGTCTTACGTGTTCTTTATCTGAAGCAAAAGTTCGGCCAAACTCTTGCATGCAGGATAAGTGCCAAAACTTTTTCTGATGTGTCTTCGTGGGGACCAAACGGGATAAGTCTAATTGAGCTTTCCCAGAAACAGAGATAAGATCATTCAGGAAACTCTGATGGGTGAACTCAAGATGGGATTAACAGTAAAAAATTTATTTATATGGCTAATAACTCGGATTCTGGCAAAACCCGAGAGAACTTTTAACTTTCATTTGATATAAGCAACTGTACAGCCATAATTCAATGGACTTTCCTGTTCGTACTTGGTCACACGAGGATGAGTTCTCAATATCTCCAGTGCCCGCTCCTTGACCACACCAGTGCCCATCCCATGAACAACAAAGAGAACTGATTGTGGTTCTCTTGCTGAAATGGCCATGTTAAGGTGGTGAGCAGCTTCCTCTGCTCGCATACCCCGTAGATCTATACTGTTTTTCGATGTCTTTATTAGGGGTCCATAAGTAGTCTCATTGATATTGTTAGCATCTGAACTATTCTGGAATTCTCTGCCTTGGTGCTCCTACAATAGAAACGAAGAGTAAGATGACTCAGAAATGTGGAATTAGATCCAAAGACGGATCAAATGAATTTATATTCAGCAAACAGCACCAATACAATCCAAAAAAATCTAGGGCCAAGAACTGCAAAGATATAATGGTGCACTCAAGGAATGATAAGAAAAGGAGAAAGTCTTTCAAATTTCTTAGTTGAATCCCCATTGTCAGTAAGGTCTGAACTTACAACTATAAAAATTATTACACTAAGATGGCACTGAAAGAGACTCTGATTGATAAGAACCTGTGTTATCATGTGGAAATGGCTGAACAAATATAAATTAGTCAGGGGATAATCAATGGTGAGTTAGTACTTATCCTTATAATAGGACTAAAGAAAAACAAAATAACGAGAGGTGTTTCAGAAAGCACTGTCTAGTACCGAGTACCGACCTGGGTTTTCAGGCGGTGAATTGAGCTAGTTGCTGTTCTTTTGCTGCTTTGAATGGCTCTGATGTTGTCCTTCTTCACACGGATCCTTACTTTACCATATTGGACTAAGACTGTGTCATCATCCTCCCCAGGTGCTTCAACAACTGTGGCTAACTTATTTCCAAGTCCCTTCACATGGACTTGCTCACCAGAATGGGGTTGGTAATTACTTGTATTTGTTTTACTTAGAGAGAAACCATCATGAGGATTGTGGGCTCTGACAATGGATGAAATTGCAGATTCTGATTTCCTAATTAGTGAATTAAACTCATTATAAGGGGCAGTTCTGAGCTGATTTTCAAACTCCATTATAACATTGTCAATTTGTAACTTGGCAGCATTCAATTCTTGTTCAACCTTTTGGCTTTCCTTTTCCCTGAGAGCAATCTCTCGCTTATCAAGATCCTTTGCCTCATCTTCAATCTTCAAGTTCAACATCAAGAGCATGAGAGAAAAAAAAAAGTAAGAAATAAAAAATCCAAAATAATCAGACACAACAGTCCTAGTACAGAAAATAGAAGATATATTTTCCCTCAAAATCTGAGTTGCTCATAATATTCAATCATAACACAGTAGTAGGTGAAATTTCAATTCCAAAAATAATCACCAGAATCTGTAGTGAATTTTTTCAATCCAAACTCTTCAAAAAGGGCAATCTAATAAGCTCATTGTTAGAAACTCAGGAAAAGGATGTTGTGTTTTAAAAAAAAAAGAATTAAATTGATATCCTAAAACTTTCTATACTCTCAACTGGACATTTAACGCCCTACCCAAATCCATCAATTTCCATCAACTACATGGAAAGCTAGAACATATGAATAATTCCAATGCCAGAAAAAAGACTAGGTTCATAAACTCAATCATCAGATTCAGCAACTACAAATGATAGAAACTCTAATATCACATCCCTTCCACAGCTTCAGTAGAAAAAAGCGGTAAAATGACACTCAAGGCAGGCAATGATGGATGAAACTTCTAGAACTTACCTCATGATAAAGGTCCATAATTTCTGCATGAAGAGATGCAGCTCTCTTGAACTGAGCTTCCAATCTGCTTCTTTCCTGCATCAGAGACTGATATAATAACCCTTTACGCTCCACTTGATTTTCTGCCTTTAGGTTCTCCAACCAATTTTTTGCACATTCAATTATGCTTCTATCAAAACCAATTGATTTAGCAATTGCCAGCGCATTTGAATCACCAGTGCTACCCCAAAGTATCTGGTAGGTAGGTTGCAAAGACTCCATTGAAAATTCCATTGCTGCATTCTCAAAGCGAGAATCCTTCTCTTTTAGGCAACTTAAATCCGCATAATGAGTTGTTACAACCGCTAAATTTACACAATCTTTGAGATACTGCAAAATGCTGGTAGACAGAGCCACACCTTCCATAGGATCTGTTCCACTACCAATTTCATCAATGAGGACAAGTGATTCTTCTGATGCCACTTCCAAGATATTACAAATCCGTGACATGTGCCCACTAAAAGTTGAGAGATTTTGTTCTAAAGACTTCAAAAAAAAAAAAAAAAACCCAGAGTAAGAACAGAAAGGATAAAGGTTGAGAATTTATCAGTCATAATTCATAAACAGTTTAAACCGCTACCTGGTTGTCCCCAATATCTGCTAGAACAAGATCAAACCATGGAAGTCTTGGCTGATTCTTAGCAGGCAAATACATGCCAGCCTTTGACATGAGAGATGCCAACCCCAAAGTTTTCATTGAAGCAGTTTTACCTCCTGTATTGGGTCCTGAGATTACAACCACCCTTGTCCCACATTCAACTTTAATATCTATTGGTACAGGAAAGTTATGAGTCTGTTCAGAAGAATTTCCAGCCACAGTTACATCATTCTCCCCATATAATTTAGATGGATTCCCAGGGTTGGATGCAAGGTCATCTAGCATATTTCTTAGAGAGGACCCAAGGAGAAGTGGATGTTGCATTCCTTCTATATCTACTGATAAAGCATTACCTCCGTCAATGGAATTTTCAGTGTCATATTCCTTTGATATAAAAATTGGGCAGACACCATTAACCCAATGAGCGTATGCAGCTCTAGCAAAAGCTAGATCAACTTCTAGAACTCTATTTAACAAACACATTATGTCAGCTTCTGCTTCTGCTATTTCAGAAGTAAGCAAGCTCAAGATGGTCATTTCCTCAGCTTTTTCAGAGTTTGAAAGCCTTACTTCCATATTGTTCAACTCTACAGCTTCTTTGGGCTCCATAAAGTATGTTGCACCAGAACTACTAACATTCAGAGCCACAGCATCTGGAAGCAAATATTTGTGGGAAGCCCTAATACCAACACACATCCTTGACCGGCGCTTGGTTACAAAAGGTCGATCAATGCCCCCAGCCTGAAAGATTCGAGTTGACACTTCCTTCAACAGAGAATCCAGATTTTCCATGTTCCTCTTCCTCTCAGCCCTAATAAGCTCCAGTTCTTCACTAGCTCTATCAAGCACCATTGAAAGATTACAGTCAATGCAAAATCCTATCTTTTGCTCCAACTCCATCTGTAAATTGCAACTCTGTAGAATTTCAAGTAAAGGAGTGTACCTAGCAAAATGCAGTAAAGACAGGTTAGAATTAGATCCTGTGAAGCTAACTATACTTTCATGCAAGCAGATTCACTCTCTTTGAGTTATCTTGAAGGGAAAGAGGTAATATACTGGACATTCTATCCAATAGTACCTTTGAAATGATTATGTTTTCATGCCTTTTTCTGGGACAAGAGAATAATACATCAATATGATGCATGGCTTGCTCCAAATTGTATCAAGCAAAATGATAACCTATCCAAAAATGCATCAGATATTATTGCTTATTACAAAAAGATCATGTAGCAGAATGATCTTCAAATCCAGCCATGCCAATATAAAACGGAGAAACTATATGAACCCAGCACTATCGTGTGTTGAAATGGATAATTACTACAGTTCAAACACAATGTCAATATCACAATCCATCTAAAGAAGAACATGGCGGTGCCACTCATATTTTATCTCAAAATCAAATCAATTCCACATCCTAAGCCACTTCTTTCAATGCAGTATCGTTTATATCCAGAAGAAAACTCTTCTATCCATCAAAGTATACCAATTACAAGGTGAGAAGAACTAGAACATTAAACCCACTTCGAGTTCAAAAGAAGAAAAAAGAAAAAAGAAAGAAAGATCAGTTACATACGACCCAGAAGAATCTCCAATCGAACCAGCTGCAATTGCCACCAGCTTCTCCCACACGGCTCTGGCTGCCCTCAATGTCCTTCGAATTCGGCAAAGCTCAGTCACAGTAAGGAGCTGTCCAGAGGCTGCACAGCGCACAATTTCTGATACATTTTCTATGGCGGCAAGATCCAACGGCTCGGATTCCAAAGCCTTCATCGCGTGCAATGCCGCCGCAGTTTGGTCCAGAAGCTTCTGTGACTCCTCCACGGTCTGACCAATCGGGATTGCTCCGGTTTGGGTTTGAGTGAGCGCCATAGAGGTGGACGTAAAGGGAGAGAGTTGGTTGCAAAGAGAGCGCCATTCTAGGATTTCTAGGGTTTCGTTTTGGAGGGTGGTTGCGCGTTGTGAAGAACCTGAAGCTGAAGCGGCGGACTTAGTTACTACAATGGTGATTTTACGTTTGACGGTTGGGAAGAGTATGCGGCGGCGGCGACGACAGCTGTTAGAGAAAATTCGGGGATTTTGGAGGGAGAGGAAGTGATTGGAGAGCAGCAGATGCATGAGGAGTATTGGATTCAACGGGAATCCTCACTTCAGGTGAGCATGTCGCGTTACAATTCGTGCATGGTCGTCTTATCCATTCATTATCTTCGACTGGAATGGAATGTGGATTATGGAATTTTGGAAGGAAGAAGATGGGTAAAAACGTCGCCGTTTAATTTAGTTTTTTAGTATGACAATTGAACCAAGTTAGAGAAAATTGAAAAAGTGAAAATCAATTCCTTTTAACATTTAAAATATCACGATTTTTTAAAAAATAATTTTTGCTTTTATAACCTGTGTTGTATTCTTAAGTTACAAATTAGAACACAGTTTATCATAAATATATATTAAAAAATATAAAAATTAATATTATTTTACCATGTAAATAAATTTAATTAAATTATTAATGAATTAAAAGTTAATTTTTATTTTTTAATATAATTTTATAATAAAAATATATATTTATTATTACACTTTTAACATATATCTTAAGAGTAAAGGTTAAAAAAAAAAAAAAACCTATTTATTAAAAATTATTCTTATGATATCTTAATTTTTCACCATCCCCATACATACATACATTAGTATCATTATTAGACCACCCACTGGTCTGTCTATCTTATGTTTTAAGGATGCCAAAAAGAAACATGATATATACAAAGTTCTACTAATAAGGATGTCATTGACATCTTGTTGAGCTAATTCTCAGGTAACCCTTCTAAGGGAAGCTTCATTTCAGCCAAAAATAATGACGAGCCTTAATTAGAATTTGGTAAGTATGAGCAACAAGTCAGGATCACAAAATTAGAGAATTCTATGAATGTTGGGAGCACCACCTCTGTTTTTTATGTTGCTAAGATTGGGGCACCACATGGAGTAGGAGCATGGTTTCCCTCTTTGAAGACAAGGTTTCCTCTTACAAAAGTTGCTAGAACTTTTCCGGAGAGCCTTTTGCCCAGGTATGCTGAGATACTCTGTATACAAAATGGTGGTTGATGCATTCAGCATTCAGGGTATAGTTATTTAGATCAAGCATTGCTCTCTAAAGAAACTGATATGGGGTGGAGGATAGTCATCTCTAGGGATTAATGCTCTTCATATGCAATTTGGATGTCGTTTTTTTGTTTCCAAACAAATGCTACCTCATAGTGAGCTCTATAAAAAAGAGAATGAAGCAAAACACAACCTAAAGTTGTAACAGTTAAATATGCAAGGAGAAGAAAAGACAGTAAAGAATGTAAGGAAGACCTACAGGATTCTTTATGAACACAGGATAATTAGCATTCAGGTCAAACTCTGCTTCAGGTTCCCATACGACCATGTCTGCATGGTTTCCAATTGCAATGGCTCCCTGCATAATGTAGCTAAGATCTAAGCATAATTTCATAACAAAACAATAACTTAGAGAAGTGAAAATGAAATTATAAAATCAAGAAAGAAATTCCATGCCAACTTTTGAATCTTGTCCAGCAAGCTTGGCAGGCCTTTCACTCCACAATTGAGTCAACTGTTCCAATGTCACTCCATATTTTTGCCCATAAGACCACGTCACAGGAAGAACAAACTGCAAATGCACTCGATTAATTTTGCTTGACCACTACAAGTAATTCATAATAAACTAACTGGTTACTGCCTATACTTTAACACATCCTAACTACAATGTTGAGACTTTTTTTTTTTTTTTGGATCAGCTACAATGTTGAGACATTTTAAAGGCTGTCAGGACAAGACATTTACAGATGCAAGTCTTTCACCTCATGTTATAACAGAAAATGAATTTGCATACACAAGGAAGTTGAAATTAGTTAGTTAAACAAATTGATTGCTTAGCACACAGAGTAACTAACACATGCAATTCTAACCAAATAGGCAAGGGAACAATTTTGTCTTCATTCCTTCATTCCATTTCCTATATGAAATTGTAGCTATTATTAATGGATCATATTGACTCCCAACTTCCCCACCTAGAACCAGTAGCTTTTCCCAAATGTGAACATAGTCAAATACAACAGCATAACCAGACCAAAGGTTCAGAGAGATGTTAAAAAACATTTACATATGGTCGAAGGAAAATGGTTATTATGAGCTAAATTTGACTCCTACATGGCAAATCACCAACCTGCAAAGATGAGATACCACCCCAAGCCCTCAAAAAGTTACCATCACTAAGGAGTTTTAAATCTGGCACTGTAGGTGAGTGATCGGAACTTAGCAAATCAATATGTCCTTCCTAGAAAAAGAAAAAGAAAAATCCAGTAAAAATACATGACAGAAGGAGCTACAATATCTAAGAATATCCTAAATTTACTAATACCATTAGAGCCTCCCACAGCTTTTCTTTATTGGATGTGTCACGGATAGGTGGAGCACACTTGAAACGGGTATCTCCATCCTGAATCTCTTCTGCTGAGAAAGCTAAGTAATGTGGGCAAGTCTCAACCGTTAAGCTGTCCCCTCTGCTTTTCGCTTCCTATGGGGAAACACAAAAATGACAACATTGTAAATAGACATTGCTTCTATTTTCTTAGAGAAAAAAAAAAATTAGAAAGGGATTGATAAAAAAAAAAAATGTAATGCTAAACTGATTAACTACATAGTTAACTGGTACAATCTGGCAGAGAAAATTGCTGCAAAAAGGTGCGATGGAGAAGAGATTGCGTTCTAGGAAGAGATTATAGGGGGTACCTTTATAAGCTGTAAGGAAGAACTGGCATCAGATAAATGAACAACATGGAGATGAGCTCCTTCTGCAGGACCACCTAGCCTCGTATCCTCAGTGACAGTCAAGAGTTCTCTAATAGCTGCCTCCTCCCTGGTTGATAACAAAATGTCCAGCAATTATTGACAAACATATTCAAATTCAAAGATAAATACGTTATCACAAAAAAGGTAACATTTACTAAGCAGTCAATCAAATTAGTTAAACATCCGCTGCTCCCCAAAGGGCAAAAAATGGGAAGAAATAACTTACCAAGAAGGTGGCCTTGTTTTAAGATAGGTTGCATAAGAACGAGGATCATCACCACCATTTTCACCTTCTGAGAGGAGTTCACTTTTTTCTTGAATCTCAGCATGTACAAGTAAGGGTCTTCTGTATTTTGCCAATACAGCCAGTCCTTCCTAGAGAGGCAAATAGTTTTACATTCCCAGAGGTGCCCTAAACAGGATCAGTATTGCCTAATGAAAAATTTACTTTAAAGTTTGGTTCAGCCATTATGAAACACACCTTTATATGACTGGTGTTCGTCATTGGGAAGTCATTAATTCCAGAAGGACACATGAAAGACTGAAAAAAAACAAGAATGTCAAAGTTGTAAGATGAATCTTCGATATTGAAATGATAATAAGCAATTTGCAACACAAATTTTTTCTTCAAGGGTCTGGTGATGAGGTGTTTCAGGTTGAATGGTCTAGATGATTTTTGAAGCATGCATTTAGAATATCATTTGCATATCTTAAGTCCATATAAGGTTTCAACTGGTAGGATAATTCATAGGTTTGTAGCACAAAAATGCAAATAGTGTCAAGACTATTCTTAAAACATTGTTGATGGCATTACCATCTCATATGAAAATATAGTTAGTTTTACATCCTAGAGTTCAAGCAGGCTTATCAGGAGGAAATTTCTTAGGTTTATGGTAAAAAATGGTAATCAATGTCAAGATTATTCTTGTTGATGGCATAACCATCTGAATAAAATATGCATGCCAGACTGCAGGCAGGAGTATCTTCTATGCAAATAACACACAATACAATCATTGGCATCATCCTTAGACGCTTACCTTTAAACCAAGAACACCAGCCAATAATAGAGCTTCCAAAGCAGTTGCATTGAATGCATTCTCAGGAACTAGGCCTCCCCAAAAGCCTGGTAGTAGTGAAATTAGGAAAAAATCAAGTCTTTGAAATGAGGGTTTGCTAACGTTTAGTTTCAAGAACTTACCAACATCTACATAGATTTTCTTCTCTGCAGCTTCAATCTGTCAGAAAAATTGGGGGGAAAATCATATGTAGCATATCTTGTCATACATATCTTACATTAACAAGACAAATCCACCAACATTTGTAGATCAACACTGCTAGAAACATTATAGGAAAACTATTGAACCCAAGAAAAACAAAGAGGCAGGCTTAAGAGTCCTGCAACACCATAAGACCAAAAATATTCAATTAATCCAGCTATTAAACAAAGAGAAAACATACCTTGAGTTTTAGAGTTTCTGTAGAGACAGTTGAAGGAAAACTATTCAAGGGCATGTCAATCAGTGTTGTAATACCGCCTGTAGACATGCAGTAACAAAAAATAGTTAAGGTGCACATATGATAGAACAGAATTAGAAAAAGAAAAAAATTAAAATAACAAAATTAAAAATGGTTTATAGGGTTATTGTTAATGACTTATGAAAAATGGGCGAAAATGAAAATATAGGAATGGGAGCATTCAATATATGGAGGTCTATACATTGTCCATGTGTTATTCTTATAAATACGATGACTTCACGATTCTCTTCAGCATTTATAACCAATAAGAACCACCTTTTGGTGCAAGTACATAAGGGAGAGTCTACCTGCAGCAGCTGCTTTAGTCCCTGAAGGAAATCCCTCCCATTCAGCTCTTCCTGGATCATCAAGATGGGCATGCCTGCCATGACCAAATTCAAAAGCACTTTAACATTTGTATACTGTTCATTGATCATATTTACTTCAAGGCCATCCAATTAATTATCTCAATAATTGCTTACATTTAAGTAAATATTTTCTGCTAGGGAAATCAATGTCCTTGTTCTCAAAGTGTTCATCAAAAGTATGAAGTATTCAGGCCACAAATTTACAAATAGGTCTTCAACTTAAATGAGTCAAACATGATCGTGAATCTTGTCTAATGAAAAATAAATATTAAACAAAGTTAACCATATGCATGAGGCAATTTCTCTCCAATCAGTACTTCCTATTACATATTTATATTGTTCACCTCTAAATATCTAGAAATTCATTTAAATGTCTCCAAGTAATCATCCTTTCTGTTTATCAAATGAGATATATATATATATATATATATATATATAAGTTCAGTTGCAGCATGAATGACAGAAAATGAGATTCACATGTCTTACACATCAATCAGGCCAGGCATGACAACAGCTTCACCATAATCAACTAATTCTTTGGATTTCGCTTTCCAGTCCTCTTCCTTAACTATGGATACAATATTCCCTCCATTTACCTCAACTGTTCATTACATATTTAGAAAAGAAACAAATTGATTAGTGAAAAATGGTGTTATTTAAGATAGAGGTTTAACAATATGATAACAGTGATTAAGGTAACATCCATCCTATTTACCTTATGCTAGAAAACCAAAGCTGTGGAGATAGTTGTTACTCGTTATTAACAAGGAGTTAAGGTTTGTTTATATTAGAGAAATTTGTTCAAGGTGATAATGCAAATAAATAATTTCAAGTACAATGCAAAGTGCCAGAAACCTCTTTCCTGCATACCTGCACCAGAAATGATGCCCTGTGGTGTCACAATCCGCTTGCTTTTTATCCAAAAATGATTATAAGGAAGAAGACTGCAATCCTTCCGCGATGGCTGCAAGATGAAATCATAACTTCTATTAGTTAGTAATTGAATAACCAAAAGCATTAAAAGCAGAATACCAAAACACAAAAATGTTACATAAGTGTAACCAAAACCAGAAAAGTGAACTGAAAGTCTTCTTCTACTCTTGCATGAGAAAGTTCAAGCCTCAAAGCAAAGAAAGCTCAAGTTGAACACTTTTCCCAAGGCAAGGTAACTACTTAGTTAAAGGGTGAAAGATAATAAGAAAAAGCCATTGACTTTGAGTTCTCCAAATATATACAATCCTTCTTCTATTGTGCAGCTTTCACAAACACAGTCCATTTATACAGCCATCAATTTCACTCCATTTTCTCAGAATCCAAACAACAAGCAGAGGATTGCAACCCCGTTGCGTTTAAGTCAGAACTCATGGATGGAGATTGAAAATTTATCCAAAAAAAAAAAAAAATCAAATACAGTTCAGTAGATGTTATAATCAAACCTTCGAAGAGTCTTGAATGAAGAAGAGGATGAAAATAGAGGCGAGCAGCATCAGCAGAGGCAGAAGCCGCCATTGCAGGTCCATCTCTGACTCTCACTTTCTCACTCCTCCTCAATTTCTACTTGAGAAAAGGAGAAATCGGATTATTAAATTTATGTTATTATCTGAAATCTGATTACACAATAGCAAACCATTATTTTTTGTCATTAAATGTCATACTTATAACTTATTCGAATAAATTATATTTCAATGAAATATATTTTTTATAATTATTATTTTTTATTTTAATTGATATAACTATTTTTTCAAAATTAAAATCTTTTATTTTTTTAAAAAAATTATTATTGTTGAATTATTTAGTTCGTTCATTTTTTATAATTAATTTATATAAAAAATAATAAAAATTAATTTTTATTTTAATAATAATATGAAGTGAATAATTTTAATTGATTAATTAAATTTAAATTAATTTTTATTATTTTTTATATAAATTAATTATAAAAAATCATTAATTACATTCTTAATTTATATCGTAAAAATATAAAATATAAAATAAAAAAATCCTTAGTTATTTGATTAAAAAGGTCTTCAACAATAAAAGCCTTTCATTTACTACTTAGAGATTTATATTTCAGACAATAAACATATTTAATAATATTTTTAAAATAATATTATAGAATTTAAATTATATGAATTTAACCATTGAATAAAAATAATTTTTATCTAAATATTTTTATTTTATAATTTGTATTATAAAACCTGGACATTTAAAACTTTCACCATGTTTAAAAAAAAAAAGTAGGTTAATTTGCAACGATCAAGATCAGGAGGATGACAATGTAATTCTCAACGAATGGTGTCTCGAATCATGCATATGAGGAAACTTGAAGGATGAAATTATAATTTACTACGAAAAAAAAGAGTATTTCGCTTATATTACGAGAAAACAGCATCGTCTTGGAGCGTCGACAGCTTCATCGTACGCTCACTGTGAAAGCCCGTTGATCTACTCCGAACTCTGAAGCATCTACACTCTGCATTCTATCTGCCAATCTCAATTGATCCAAATTCCAGACCGTCTGGATTGGATTCCTGCAAAACCCTAGCAGTTGACCTCGAGTTTGAACGGACAAGGAAAACAGAGAAGTAAAGAAAGAAAGAAGATGCCTCAGGTGAGGATCATCGCGAAGAATTTCATGGACATGGTGGCTTCCCTGCCTGCCATGAAGCTTGACGCACTGTACCGCAATCAATTCATATGCGAAGCAATTCTCAGGTCCTCTTTTTCTTTTCATTTCCACTCTGTATTCGGTTTAAGCTATTAAAGTTTTGCTTTTTTTGGTTTCGGTTTCGAATTATAGAAATCTGGACGTTCTTGGTGATGATAGAAGATAGCAATTTGAAAGTTTTTCAGAATATTGGTTCAGGGAGAATTTGCTTTGAGGTCCTTATCTGTTTTTATTTTGTTTGTCTAGGTCCCTGCCACCTCTGGCAAAGAAGTATGTGCTACAATTGTTGTACATTGATGTCCCGGTGACAGCCAAGTTGTTGCAGGAGTGGGTGGTTGCAGATGGGTCTACGAAGCACAAAGTTGCCATTGATAGGTTGATTCAGTTAAAAGTATTAGAGGCCATTGATAGGTTAGCACATGCTGAAACTTGTTTGTTTGAGATTTAACTTCTATCTTTCTGCTTGGTTCTCCTTCATGATTGAGAAAAGTTTTACTTCTCTGTACTCGGGTTAGTGCTAATGCTGCTGTTCATTGATGGAGTAAGAAATCACATTGACATTGAGTAATTGACTGTTGAAAATAAGCCTAAAGTATAATTTCCTTGCCTTTCATGGTGGTTTGGGAGTTGAAAATCGGAAAGCTTTTTCTATATCCTAACAGGTTTTGTCTTACAGGAAGAAGGAAACCACTTACAGATTAAATCCAACATTTCAAACCAATCTACGGCAGCATTTAATAAAAGGGTAAGCATTTGATATGTGACACCTTTTTCTTTCTTCTTCCTTTTACTTTACTTTCCAGTCTTCTGCCCTCTGATTTCTAGTATCATACTTATAGAGATCTGGGTGAAATCTTTATTGGTGGTTTCTGTTTTTGGGAATCATGACTTCCAGGTCTGAATGAGATGTCATGCCAAGTGTTTTTGTCTGCATGTATCCTTAATATTTTTTTCCAATGATTTTACTCGAATAAACTTCTAAAAATACCTTCAATTACTAGGTCTCTATAATATTTATCTATCCTTTCTGCTCATAATACACCACTTATGCTGTTGGATTGCTTATGCTTTTCTTGTTACTGCATGAAATTGTATGTAATTGCTTGTTACCTTGCAGTGGAGTTTTGCCGAGGGAACCAATGCCTCCAAATACTGTGAGGAGACCAAGTTTAGAGGAACTTGAAACCTATGCCCTTGGACAATGGGAGGTGTGAACTTTAACCATTTATTTACCCTCTTGTGTCTTCTCTAAATTTGTTTAAGGAATTCATCTATCAGGGGAGTGTATGCGATATGGAATTATGCAAGCAATATGTTTTTTCTTTCTTTTTTTTTATGCATTGTTGTTTTTCATTATTGGAGTTAACTTTTTTTTTTTTTGGATAAAAAGTAAAGCTTTATTTATCCAGTCAAACTGAGTACAATCAAAGCAGCAAAATTTAGCTGCTACAAAGAATAAGAAAATTGTCTTCTACGCACCACTGATATTAAGCTTTGACAATTTTCTCAATTCCCCAATGCAATGCAATGTCAACTGTTTACTTAATGCTAGCTATTGTGTTAAGCAGTGCTTCTTGCTGCAACTTATAAGTTCAGGCCAGTCCGAAAGGCAAACAAACTTTAGCCCTTCCATGATGAGAATTTTCCAGCGTGGTCTTCTTAGTCAGAGGTATATATTTTGGCACATAGGAAATCATGCTTTCATATCTAAATTGGAATTAAGATTCTGTATCTCATAAGTGGTGCTATCGTGTCTCTATGTCTTTCCAGCCGAGACAAAGAAGCTCCAAGATTAACTGATAGTGGTTTCCAGTTCTTGGTATGTACCATATGAATCATGAGCATTTTTCACTACATTGTTATAAATTACAATTTTATTTGTGTATTTACAGCTGATGGATACAAATGCACAACTTTGGTATATTATCAGAGAATATATCTCAAATTCTGAGGTAGGAATCATGAGGTTCTGTGGTTTTTTCAGTTGTAACTTCACTATTCATATTGTATTAAATACTTGAGAGGAGAAAAAAAATGAGAACTAGGTATCACAAGTTCTTACAAATAATATTTTTTTTAGTTTATGGTAATATGGAAGTAATTTATTTATGAAGAGTTTATAATGGACAGCTAGTATCTTATGGCTGTTGCTAGAAGAGGGGGTGCAGGAGGGCGTGTAGCTCAGAATGTAAGGATCCCTTCCTTTGTATGTTTTATTTATTTTTTGTCTTATGGTGCAGGAGCAAGGTGTAGACCAAGCAGATTTAATTGCATTCTTGCTTGAGCTTAGTTTTCATACTACCGGTGAGGTTTGTCTTCTATATCTCTTCTCTTGCATCAATTCTTGCCAGAGCGAATTACTTAGACAGTAAAACCTCAATGCTCTATTATTGTTTGGTTAATACTTCTTTGCCTTGCTAGACTTAATCTTCAAATGTTGAAAATTCATAATTAGCTTTTCTTAGTTGTGTGCATGTCTTCAATCTTATTGCAATGCTTCTTGTTGCTTCTTGAGTATCTTAAAAGCAGCATTATATGATATTTTCCAAAAAAAAATTCCGAATCTCACATTATTTCTATATAATGGCTTCCTCTTGTCACAGGCATATAATACAAATACACTAACAGATGAGCAAAAGAGTATGATAAAGGACCTTGCAGACTTAGGATTGGTCAAACTTCAGCAGGTTCTATTGGTTCATGTTATTCTTTTCATAGATTTATGCAGACCTTTAAATAGCTAATAAATTAATTATACCTTTTTAACATTTTTGAGGTATTTGCATATGTCCAGGGCAGGAAGGAGAGTTGGTTTATACCCACTAAATTGGCAACAAATCTTTCATTGAGCTTGACAGATTCATCATCAAGGAAAGAGGTAAATTCAATCATCAGGTTCTATTAATCTATGTTGTGATTGTTATATATCAGTGTTGGGTTAGGTTCCTTTTATACTAATCCAACTATTTTGATTCTTGTTTCATTATTGGATGTGTGGCCAGTTTATCATTTTCATTTTCTAAGTTTTATTGAACTAGCAATTGTGGTAACCCAAGCTGTACCTTTTATCATTTTATCATTGCTCTTAAAATGTTTTTGTTTGGTTGGTCTGCTCTGCCTTTGGAATCAGGCTTAATTTTACCAGTTTTAAGATAAAGCCTTAGAACAGTTGGAATCCTTTTACACTACAAAAAACAGAAGAAACAATAGTAATAGATCGCATTGCAATTGCAGCCTTGATATCACTGAATTTGGTTAGTTTTATTGTTTTAGGGTAATTTGCTGAGGCAATATAGAGAAAACAGAACCCATTATGGATTCTATAATCTGAATGGTATGCTTTTTATTTGTCAGCAATACAATTTGAATTATTTACTACTTCATATGTGTTTCTGCTGAATTGGTTTTGTGAATAAGCTATTATCCTGTGACTCTCTAGAACATTAGACTGACCAACTGCTGATCTTCCATAAACCCTGAAAGCCTTCTTATGTTACTACTACTCATGCACTTTATTTATTTTTATTATTATTATTATTTTTTTTTGGAATTTCCCCAGGGATTTGTTGTTGTGGAAACGAACTTTAGGATGTATGCATACTCAACGTCAAAGTTACATTGTGAAATTTTACAGCTTTTCTCAAGGTCTGAGATTGGTTCAGTATTCAAGCCCTCTTTATTTGATCTTATGGTATCTGGGTAATTGTGTAATGTACAAATTGATTGAACATATATTGTAAAAGGAAAGAAATGGATGTTAGAAATTATATCAAGGATTTGAATCTTTTTATGCTAAATGGTTTCTTGCTACTACATGCAGGATAGAGTATCAGCTTCCAAATCTCATAGTGACTGCAATGACAAAAGAAAGCTTGTATGCTGCTTTTGAAAATGGCATTACTGCTGAGCAGGTTAGTACTCATTTCTAGTTGATTCTTGATCACTCAAATAGCAGAATCAGGACATGTGAGAACTATAATCTTCCAACAAAGTCTAAGCAGGTTGTTTTGCTTCATTTAACCCCCAAATGCAGATTATCACATTTCTGCAGCAGAATGCCCATCCTCGAGTCACTGAGAGAGTACCATCTGTTCCTGAAAATGTCACGGATCAGGTTGCAAATTGCTTCAATATTCAAGTATTTAATAATTATTAACTTAAAAGCCAAAACAAAAAGCACTTAACTAGTGGCACTACATAGGAATCAATTTCTTTGAAAAGCATAACTTTTTGCAAGTGTGCTTGCAGATACGATTGTGGGAAGCTGATTTGAATAGAGTTGAGATGACTCATGCACATCTCTATGATGAATTTCCTTCAAGGGTAATCTTGAGCATCTTGATTTGAATGATGTTGTTTTCTTAATATTTTGAATGTGGAGCTCATATAATCTGTGGAGCAGGATGTCTATGAGGAAGGATGTGAATTTGCTCGGATGCATGGTGGTTTGCTTTGGGAGGATGCTAAAAGAATGCGCATTGTTGTCAAGGCAGAGATTCACATGCATATGAGGGAGCATCTACGTGGTCAAAACAAGTGAACCAGATTCATCACTTATGTGATGATGAGAGATAAATCGGAGATTCATTTTGGGCGGAGGATTATCAGTCTGGGGGGCTGAATAATGAATACATTGGACCCAGCAAGGCTGCTAGTATACGGGAAACAATTTTAAAGATTTTATTTTTAGTGGATATTTCCACTTAGCTAAGCTTTGTTGGTAACAATTTTAAAGCTGCATTTGGGATTTGCTTATAGCAGTTGCGTTTTTACCCAGCAAATTATTAAAGAGGTTAAAATGCCAATTTGGTCCCTCAACTTTCAGATCTGTACCAAAGTTATTTTTAAATTTTAATTTTCAATACCAAAAGTGCTTCTATTAATAGAAGTATAATATGATTCATTATCTTGTCACAAATTTAATTTTTTTAAGTACTAATGACGTGTAAAATTAAACAGTTCTTTTTTATTATCGTGGCATATATCTATTTACACATTAAATTAAGACATAATGAAAGTTGAAAAGTAAAATTAGTATTTATAATTAAAGTTTAAGAATTAAGGTAGCACCTGTCTTCAAGGTTTAAGGACTAAGTTGATATTTATCTCTAGAATTTGCAAACTAAGTTGATATTTTTCTTCAAAGTTTAAGGATCATTTTGGTATTGAAAATTAAAGTTTAGATATAATTTTCTTACCTTTTGAAGTTAAAAGATAAGTTTAGTATAAATTTAAAAGTTGAGGGGTCAAATTGATATTTTAACCTTTTAAAAATGTTATGGGAAGAGGTTGGTCTCTTTATTTTTGGTTAACATGGGTGTCTACGCTCAACTGAGTATTTTCATGCCTCTATCCACAATGCTAGGTTAGGTAAGACTCCGCCTTCAAGAGTTACGAGTATGGCTTATTAAAATTATTTGTATTCAAATGGGTTTAGAGAAATTCAAAAGTGTATTTTTAATGTGATTTGAATGACTCCACAAATCATATAAAACAATTTAAATAGTTGAATTCATACAAAAACTCCATTAACTTCTTCTCATTTTTTAACCCATTATGTTAGTTGGGTTGGGCGGCATCATAATGAAAAGAAATAGGTAAAGACAAAATAAAATGAAGAGATGTGCTGCCAATTTCCTAGCAGTTTCCTCTTTTTAACATCTTCCAATCATGAATCTCTTTCAAATTCTATGATATCCATCTCTTCCACACACCGCAGTTTTTTTTTTTTTTTCCTTTGTCATTTTATGAATTCCTAAAGTTAATGCAAGATTATAACTCTGCCTTCTAAGAAGATTTTTTCATTACATTTGTTGGGTTCTAGGAGTGCAATCTTGTCATCTAAAATGGCAAGAATCGTTAAAATTTGCATGCAATCAACCCTGAAGACCGTAAATTTAATAATGGGAATGGTCGGCATCGCTATGATTTTATATGGGTTTTGGATGTTAAGAGTTTGGCAGAGAGACATGGGAGGTTCTCCATATGAAGATTTCTATTCTTCTGCTCCATGGTAAGCTCTTTAGAATCTTCAGAAATGAACATTTTGCTTCAAGTCATCATACATTTTTTTTTTTCAAGGAAAATCATTTTTTTTTCCGGCAGGTTTATATACACATTTATAGGTACTGGCATCACCTTGTGCATCATAACATGCCTTGGTCACATTGCTGCAGATAGTGCTAATGGTTTCTGCCTCTTCTGTGTATCCTTCTGGCTCCTTCATATATATGTTTTGAGCTCTGTCGTTCTCAGTTTATTTGTTATAAAGGTATTTCTTGACTTGAAATGGACACAGTACATGGTGATAATCTCTGTAATTCTGCTTCTGGAGATAGCGATGGCAGCCGACATACTCCTAAATTCTGATTGGGAGAAGGTGTGCGTTTTACCTCTGACTTCCTAGTTGCTTGTAAAAGATGCTGTGTATGAACTTCTTGTCCCCAATTTCAGGATTTGCCTGACGACCCTACAGGGAGATTCCATGATTTCAAGGAATTTGTGGAGTCCAACATTGATGTCTTCAAATGGATTGGATTGTTGATCATCTTGGGTCAGGTAATTTGGAGATTGTATCTTTGGTGTCCTGCGGCCATGTTCTTATTGGAATTTAGATAGATTTTTACTAGTTTTACCTATTCATTGTAGGGATTTTCTTTCTTACTGGCAATGGCTCTTAGAGCTCTGGGACCAAACTGGAGTTCTGACGACTACAGTGATGATGAATACACTCCAGCCAGGCTTCCGCTCCTGAATCACCAAGCTCAACCTCCTGCATATGTCATTGGCAATCCGCGCTTTGCCCCCAATAATGAAGGTTGGAATGTAACCGTAAGTACGCAAATTCCCTACCCCTTTCCTTACTCTTGAAAAGAATATAACACAACTAAGTTTTTGTTTGGTGTTATTCTTGATCATTCACAGACAAACAAGTGAAGAGAGCAGCATCATTTTTGCAGATCATTCACGGGCAACGATTCTGTAAGAAAATTCTGTCATTGTTAGAGATGCTTAGATGCAGATGTGTACCTATCATTGTTCCTTTTAACCATGTTCCAGACTATGTCATGGTTATTTTCTTGAGTATTACTTGCGTCGGCATTGAGTATGAACTAACCAGAGAGTCAAGAAACAATAAACACAAATTCATCTCAGATTGATTTGGCGATATAAATCAATGAACAAAGTAATATTTCATAATGGTCAACAAATGAACAGCGGCTTGTCTTCAGTCTACCACAACAACACAAAATTTGACTCCTCAAGAATGTTACTAAAATGACAAAACTTAAAAAGAAAAATGAAATAATCACACCAGACCAAGAGATGGACAAGAAGGAAGACGTGTCAAATGGGAGAAACAGAAAACCTAGTTAGCTTTCTTGGTAGTTGCTGGCTTCCTCTTCATTCTGCTAAATGGCCCCACAGTCCGATCCATAATATACATGTAAATGACCTGACTCCAGGATTTATAGGACTCTAAACTCTCGTAATATTCAGGTGCAATCTCCTTCACCTTGTAGAGCTTGCTCCCAGGGATCCTAGGGAAATCATGGTGCTCATTGTGATACCCCACGCTCCATGTCATGAGATTTAGGGGACCATAGTAAGAATATGTTTCTTGGTTGGGATTGAATACATAATGCTCTGAGATGAAATGACCAGCCATTGGGTGCATTCCACCCCCAACAAATGTTGAAAGAATCAAATAAGCAAGAGATTTCCAGCCCCAAAACCAAACCATGGCCACATCAAGAGCTATCTGAATAAACAAGTTGATGAACTCCCAATAACCAGGGGGCTTTGGTTTGAGAAATAGGGGGCGGAGAGCATAGAAAAAGAGTTGTAAGATGACCCAAATGGATTTGGTGACAGCATTGGTCACAACACGAGCTTCTGTCTGACTTGGGATATCCAAATCAATCCCATCTACTCCTTGAAACCGATGATGCTCGAGGTGATACTTTTGGAAAGTCACAGACATGGGCACACCAATTGGGAGGTTAGCAAAAATCCCAAGCCAACGGTTGTAGACCGGTGTTGAGAAGGCGAGATTGTGGCTGAGCTCATGGATGGCTAAGAAGAGGTTGTGGTTGAGAAAGGAACCAAAGAAATAGGCTATTGCCAATAATTTCAGCCAGCCTGCACTATGTAGAGATGTAGCAGTCCACAGCTGAAGTAAAACAACCACAGTTACCTGCAATACCACAGTCAAAGAAAACCCATGATACATGATTGAGAATCTTATTTCAATCTTGTAACAGAAATAAAGTAATGTCAAATGGGACGAGGACATTCCACCTATCTCAAACAACAATTAATCAATAAATACCCAAAAGAAAAGTATGTCACTTGTATCATCAAATCCAAATCCATGCCAAGTTAATCACAAATTGAAAACCATGAAGAAACAGTGTGAAAATACAAATTCAACTAACGAGGATGAAGATACAAATAACATAGCAGATTCACAAGTCTCCCCCACCCAACCCCATAAACTAAATTGCACAAAAATCTCAACTTTCGATCACTGTGATTCATAACACAACATGTATAATAAAACCCAAATCCCCAATCAGATATATGACAAATCAAAACAACACCCATCAACCCAACCCACCCTTCTTTATTTTTCTCGGATCTAAACAAGGTGAAGCAACACATGGAAAAAGAGCAATAAAAAACACATTGGTCTGTAATGTACCTTAAGGAAAGCCCAGGGGTCAGGGCCAAAGAGGTCCTTAATTTGAGGGTACTGAGAGAGGATCTGGCGTCTCCTTGAAGCGTGTGGCTCATCCGTATACGACCAGAAAAAGTCGGTGGCCATGACTCCTTCCTGCTCTTCCTCTCTCCCCATCTCTCTCAACTTTCTCTACAGACCGTGTCTTTAAAAAAAAAAAGAACTGCTCTTGCCATTCAAGTGGCTGTTTGTACTCGGTGGAATTTAAAGATAATTGCCGAGAAAAGGTTTGATATTTTGTTGATTTAGAATAGTAATTTAGGAAGGAAAGAACTAAAATTGGTGGTGTATTGTGTATGGACACCTTGGTCCTTCTTGCTGATTTTCCAGCTCGTTGTGGGACTCTTTTCTCTCTCCTCATGGCTCATGCCTCATGGCTCATTCGTTCCTCATGCCTACTGTTTTCTTTTTTTCTTTCTTTCTTGTTTTTCATTTACCCCTTTTTTTTAGGTATCTTTTCATCAAATTTGTCAATTTATTGTGTTTATTTTGGTATGAAAGTAACGGGCTCAGCTAAAATAATTTTTTTAAAAGTAAAAAATTTTAAAT